ATATATATATATATATATATATATATATATATATATATATATATAATGAACAAGATATTGGAGTGTGTTTTATTTTTTTTACAAAAGGTCCATAACAAATTTATATGTAGTCATTTAAAAAAAAAATATTTCAGCCTGAAATAGCTCTACAAGACTGACTAGTTTAATGTTGAAATCAGATTAATAAACTGTATTTTATAGCAGTTTTGTAAGGTGGTTAATTTTTCTTGTAAGGAACATTAAGTGCCATAAAGTTGAAGGACCTTCTGAGGATTTAAACAGGATGATTTAAATGCTGCTCCTCTACAAACTGAACCCTAGTGACTGTTCTAGTGCAGGACTGTACAGATTGATAAATTAGACAAAACAAAAAAAGTTCTCGAGTAATTACAGTCCTCCTAAAAAAAATCTGAATTGGGTCTAAGTGGAGCAGTTCTGAGCTGTCCAAGAATCAGAAAATGTTTTCGGCTCAAACCCCAAATTGGCCCACCTCTAATGAAACACACACATTTATACCACTTTATAATTCTTTTTTGAAACTGTTACACATTACCTGCATTTGATCCATCGTTCTTTGTTTCTGGAGCATTAATGTTTTGTTTCTGCTGGCCTCAGTTCAGCAGTACTACTGTAACTGAAGATATGAATAATCGGTGTGAGAGATTGAAGTGTTTTTTATTGTTGCACTGGCATGTGCGACTGTAAAAGCATTTCAAACCCTGTTCTGATCCAAGTCAAGCTCTGGTTCAGTTCTAATTGTTTATTTTAGCCCAGTTAAGGAATGTTTTTCCAGTTAAACCTTTTTGTTTTATTTTGAAACCTGGGAGTTGTCCTCCCGCTGTTTGAAATCCGAAGAAACGGCTCGGTTCCAGTCATTAAAGACTAATGTTAGAAACTGGTTCCAGTACTTTTCCACTACATTGGAAGGAGGCCCTTTCAGACATCTGGTCTCGGAAGATTCTGCTGAATGTGCAAAACAAAAATCTTAACATATCATTTTACTGGTTTGTGGAGGTTTACTCAGATTTATTCAGTGTTTTTGTTATTTATTTAGATTAGATTCTGTCAAGAGACAGAGATTTCATCTAAAGCTCGAACAACTGAATGATGTGTTTGGGGTTTTCTAACTGGAGCTAAAACATTTGTTTTTTTAAAGATGATACCTCTTTTCTTTCACCCCCAGTCTAAAAGTATGGACAGATGCCATACAGTTTACTTTTTCATATAAAAACTGATGTCTTCATCACAGATGTGCAGCTGTAGATTAAGGAGAACCGTTTCCAGTTGGCCTTCTGTCGGTGGGCACGCTCAGCCAATAATTTGATAAGAAAATTGATGAATGCTTGCTTTGAAATAAGGAGATTCATCGATTCATTCATCCACTGATTTAAAATCTACTGTTTAAAGACCAGAAAGACTCTGATGATGTAAGAAATCCTTCTATATCTGTTTAAGGTCCCTGCATACGCCATCTGAAGATGAACAGTCGACTCGGGGTCATGTGGTTGCAGGACGTTTGTTCTTGTATACATCTTTCATGTGTTTCCCCTTCCATTATATATCCACACACACAAATATATATATATATATAGTTTTAAAATTTATTCATATGGGGGCACCCCACCCACATAACAGGACCAAGCGCCCTGCAT